ACAATGAGGTCAGTCAGTGAGGTTAGTGTGCCAGCAGGATGAATGTATCAGTGAGGCCAGTCAGTGAAACCAGTGGGATCATTCAGTGAGATCAGTGTGTCAGTGAGGTCAATCAGCTCATTCAAACAGTGAGCCCAATGTGCTGGTGCAATCAGTCAGGGAGGTTAGTACCGTAGCGGATGCTGCAGATCTTGAGGCAGCGGTCCAGACTGATGAGCGCGGTGGTGATGAGGCTGCCGATCCCAAACACAAAGCCCTGCACCCCATACCACACGCACCCGGCATGACCCCACATCCAGCTATGGGCCAGGCTGAGGAGAGCAAGGAGAAGGAATGCCCAGTGAGGCAAAGCTACTGTTCTTCCAGAGGAACTGCATATCATTGGAATCCCTCTCTTAAGAAACAAGACAGGAGCACTTCAGGGTTGACTTAAAAAAACAGCATGCTGTATGTGACAGTGCGCTGACACACTGACCTCACACACACTGGTGTCTGCACACTGACACACCATCTACACATTCAAGGATAATATTCAGACAATCAAAAAACTACACACGTTTGCATGATTTCTGCTTGCACAGATGCTGTTGTGGGTCTGAAGGTTGATTTTTATATCTAAGGTTTATACACCCCTGGGTCGAACACAGGTGGTCAAGTGTTACTGGGATGATGGTGTGTGTCAGTCAGTCAGCCAGGAGCAATGACCCCTGGGATATGAAACCCTGATATGGTTCCTCTTCTCAGTCTTAAATGCAGTCCTCTTTAATTTCCTATTGAGTCCCACAGCCTGTGTTTCCCTGCTCGGGGTTTTCAGGACATACATTGGGCTGAGCCTACTGAAACCTTTTCAGAATTTCAAATATTTGCATTGTATCTCCTGACAATGATCAAAGACCGAAGGTATTCAGTTCCATTATCAGTGTTTAAAGCCAGGGAGTATTCTGCCCCACTTTTCCCAGACTAGAGCAGCGAGGGCGTTTTGCTCTGTGTAATGTTGTGACTTGATTGACGTCGCTTGAAAACCGATTGCGTCTTTCTTATTGCTTCCCCCTAATTGATCGTACACTGTGTCTGTTTGCTATAGCTGAGGTCACTTCCTTTTTGTTCTGTGTCGGGTTCGGTTTGAAGGCTCATTAAAGGGCCTCTGGTCTCAGATCCGCTCAGCTGGCTTTTTTGTGGCTCTCCTGTGTCTGCTAGAAAGCAGGCTGGAAGTGGACCAGCTCAGGAGATGGGATGCGCTGATCTCTACAGATCCTGGAAGATTTGGGTGAGGGGTTTCAGACCATATGTGCTGTAGTTTCCAGCCACTGCTACAGTGCTGTAGTGTCCAGTCAGTCAGTCAGTGTCACTGTGCTTTAGTGTCCATCTGATATGAGACATTTTCCAGTCGGTTAGTGTTAATGTGTAGTGATATGGTAATACAGACAGCTCTGCATATGATAAAGGATAAACTAAGTTATTCTTCATGCACAGGATTTCGTTATTAATAATCTTTGAAATAAGAAGAAATCACTAGCCTGGAAGAGATGAGAAAGGGCGCCCCCAACAGGGAATATCCAAAGTCACAGACAGCCAGGTTCATGGCCATGAGTTCCTGTGGCCTGAGGTGGCTGCGCTTCCGACTGAACACAGTCAACACCACTCCGTTACCTGCCACTGACAGCACACCTGAGAGAGATTAACACACTGTCACTGCCACTGACAGCACACCTGAGAGAGATTAACACAGTCACTGCCACTGACAGCACACCTGAGAGAGATTAACACACTGTCACTGCCACACACACAACTGAGAGAGATTAACACACTGTCACTGCCACACACACACCTGAGAGAGATTAACACACTGTCACTGCCACTGACAGCACACCTGAGAGACATTAACACACTGTCACTGCCACACACACACACACATGAGAGAGATTAACACACTGTCACTGCCACACACACACCTGAGAGAGATTAACACACTGTCACTGCCACATACACACCTGAGAGAGATTAACACACTGTCACTGCCACACACACACCTGAGAGAGATTAACACACTGTCACTGCCACACACACACCTGAGAGACATTAACACACTGTCACTGCCACACACACACACGCCCGAGACAGATCATGTGGTGGCAGTGAATGCCTTGTGTGTTTGTATTTACTGATTCAGTACAGCCCTTTATTTCAGTTTGCCTTTGGCACAGAAACATCCCTCTGCATGCATTTTACTGTGCATTACCACATGTCGATAAGAACTTGGGACTGATCTAATAATAATCATTATTCATATCTGTGCTCCCCACCTCGGGCTGTGCATTGACGTGTGGAGTCCGGAAGACTGTCTTTTTTAATTAACCCATATGTTGACTAGAATGATCCACCAGCTTTTTGAACAGCTCTTTTTTGCATCTTAACTAAGTCATAGTACTTTTTGTATAGGTCTGAATTCCGTATAGTTTATGGCGTATTGTACTGGGACTGTAGCCCCTATTGTAAAGAGACTGTTCTACTGTAAAAGAAGTATCTCCTATTACTGCAGGCCCATACTGTCAAAAGGTTGTTTCACTGTACTTCTATAGTAATTCAAGTATTCTATGGCAGTGTGTTCCATTGCCACCACTGTCAGCTTCAGAATGGGGACTGTACACCTTTCCTGCTATATGAGATCTTTAACTATTAAAACAATTCAATACTAATTAAGAATACAGGTCCTTACGTAGAAAGTATGTCAAGGACAGTACATACAGGATTTGCCAATAACCGGACGCCATACTGCCACTGCCTCTTCTGCTGCTAATTCTAGTAATTCTGATGCTATTTCTACTAATACTGTAACAGCTAATAGATCTCCTGCTATTACTCTTGATACTAGTATTACTAATTATTGCAGTTCTAGTATTAGTACAGTATTAGTATTAGTACAATTAGAAATGATGGTTGGCGGTCGGTTCTGACGATGATGGTCGTACGTTGTGCAGCTCGTCTGTTTGGAAGACGAGCTGCACGAAGACACCCGTGCGGGAGAGCTTTTTGAAGGGGGAAAGCCGTTGCCCTGGGCCAGTCCCACTCTCTCGACCTCAGGAGCCTGGGGCCAGCGGTATGAGTAGTCGTCCCGACTGGAGACTCCCCTTGGTCTCAGTGGATGGCCATGACGCCTTTCTGTGCCTTGTCATGCCCTTCGCTTTCCACAGAGCGTTGCAACAGTACAGTGTCCCCGTCTTAGGTATTAGGACCCACACAGACTGCAGGGTGAGCGCCCCCTACTGGCCCCACCTCTTCCAGCAGCAGCCTTAGTTTACTTCCCATCCAGGTACTCACACCTGCTGAGCTGCAGGGTGATATGGCTTCTGGCTACAATTAGAATTACAGCTATTGTTATTATTAAGTGGAGTGGTGGCTCTGTGGCTAAGGATCTGCGCCTCTGGCTGGAAGGTTGCCGGTTCAAATGAGCCCCTGAGCAAGGCCCTTAACCCCAACTGCTCCAGTACTGTATTGTATTGTATTGTACTGCTCCTGTACAATGGCTGACCCTGCTCTCTGACCCCCAGCTTCTCTCTTCCTGTCTGTGTGTCTCATGGAGAGCAAGCTGGGGTATGTGAAAAGACAAATTCCTCATGCAAGAAATTGTAAAGGGTTAATAAAGTGATGATATTATTATTATTACTGCTGCAACCAGTCCTAGTGCTTCTGTTAGTGCTACTAGTGCCACTACTCATAAAGGTCTTGTAGTCTAATCTAGTGCAACTACTGCTGCTCCTTAAAGACAGTCATGCTGAAGGACACTCACCAGTCAGGGAGAGGTAGACAGCAATGCCGACATCGGCGCTGGGGGACAGGCGGGAGAGGAAGGGGTGAGGAAGAGTGAGCGCCCCCTCTGTCGAGCTGTTTCCGTCGCGCGGCATCGCCTGGAACAGAGCGGGAGAGAGTGAGACACGGCCCAGCCCCACCAACCCCCCCCGCCTGACATCCGACGACCTGCTTCTCCAGCCACAGATGGGATTATGAACCGGACTGGGATCCAGGTCGCGGATATGAGTTAGAAAGAGCCGTGGACCCAGTACAGACCCCTGTGGGTCCTCTTCAGTCCTACATGTGGTTCATTTACTGTACAATTTATACGGTTACCACTGTGCCCCGCTATGCCTCCATGTTCAATCTTTATCTTGGTAGTTGATTTGCAGGTTCATTGCTGACATACGTCTACCAACATTCTGTTTCTGTCTCCTAGTGCTTTGACAACGCTTTGCTCTGATGATCAAGTCGAAGGCCAGAGTCTGGCGCAGACGACACAAACACAAACCCTCCTACCCTCATCCTTACAGGCAAACGCGCTGTGCTTGTGTATTACCTTGCAAACCCTCACCACAAATGCGCAACGTGTACGGCACATCAGCAGAAGTGCCAGCGGTGTCTCACAGTACAATTTCTCTCAAGACTACGGGATCCTTTTCAATGTGCACAATAATACATATTATATATATATAATTATTATATTAAAATATATATTTTTTCTGTATTCAGATAAAAAAAATACATGTACAAAAATACTTGTGCAAACGCGGAAACTATTTTTCCCCAAACTCTTCGAATCCCCCCTCCTTCCAAGTCCCTAATCCTAGCAAATCTTTTTTTCTAAATTTGAGTGCCTTTCCTGGAACAAAAACAACCCACGAGCCCCCTCCTGCTCCACCCTCTGCCTCTGAATCTATTAAGTCAAATGATCCTTCTGCAAAATACATCACGGAAAACAAAACAAGCTCAGAAAAATAAGCCTACGGACGGACAGATGATCTGAGAAACAATCCCATGATAAATTAGTGGTCTTTTTTCATTGCCTTTGCTGCAAACAGACTGCCAATGTTTCTGTTGCTCGTTCAGACTCGTCAGACCTGGGTTTTGTAAGAAGTACGTCACTGCATCAAGGGAACAGGGGCAGGCTTGAAGAGAGAAGGCCACACTCCTAGTGCTTCCCTGGGGTCTAAAAGATTTGGTGCTCCGCTTCAGAGGGGAGTCTTTTTGTCTTCATTGGCAGAGATTTCAGGAAACAGCGAGGTGTCGGCACGAACCCCTCTGTTCATCAACTCATCACCGTCCTCAACCTGGACTCATTCATTCATCCTTCAACTGGTAGACAGTTGGAGAGTTGGCTTAGGTGTTCACTCCTTCATCCAAGTTCCTACTGTCCCAGGAGTCTGTGTGTCTGTTATCCCAGGAGTCTCTGCCTCTGCTGCCCCAGGGATCTGTGACTCTGCTGTCCCACGAGTTTCTACCTCTGCTGTCCCATTACTCTGTGACTCTACTGTCCTACAAGTCCTTACCTCTGCTGTCCCAGGACACTGTGATTCTGTTGTTCCAGAAGTCTGTGACTCTGACTCACCAAGAAATGAAATGTCCTTGAACCTCAGCTAGAGATCCATTAACCAGAATGGTCTGAGACAAACAGAGAAGACAATCCAAAGGGCGAAATCCAAGAGACGAGATCGAAAAGGGAAGTTTAGTCCAAAAACCAGGAAATCTAACAAGACAAAAACGCACACTAGAAAACTCTAAAGGAGGCTTCTCAATAGGGAGCAAGGCTTGGTGCGTGAGGGAACTTTAAATAGTGAAGGGAGAGGGACGTGGTTGGATAATTGGTCCAGAAGTGAGAATCCCTGGAATCTGGTGCCTGTGAGGATTGACAGGGTCAGTCAGGAATGAGATCGTGAAACGGTGGGTTTGGGAATAGAAGGGCGAGTGCAGGGCGCGATAAAAATGTCTAGGTGTGATAAAATATCACCACAAGGGGCTAGGAAAAACTCAGGAGACCATGTTTAAGTCAATTATAAACTGCCTAAACTATCATCCTCAGAACCTCATGGTGCTTGGAGTGACGAGCTGCTCCTGCAGAGTGGAGTGTTTGAACCAGACACAGAGTCGGCAGTGCGCTAGCCGGGGATCCGAAAGATCGTTAAACAAAACAGGACGTTCTGAAAGGCTGGCGAGTTTCCTCTGAATATCGAGCGATGCATAAATGGGTACGATTCCGGGATGGAAAACCCTGAAGAATCAATTCCTTACGAGAGAGGAAGATGAAGAAACAGAACCATTTACGTCTGCCCAGACACTCATAGAGAGATGGACGTGAGAGCGTGAGTGGACTGGCTGAGAGGTAACAGAGAGGGACAGAGGGAAGAATGGAGATAGATTCCTGTCCCAGCCTGAGGAACAGACAGTGAGCCTGTCTCTCAGTAATAATAATAATACAGTGTGTGATCTCCTGTCCCAGCCTGAGGAACAGACAGTGAGCCTGTCTCTCAATAATAATAATACAGTGTGTGATCTCCTGTCCCAGCGTGAGGAACAGTGAGCCTGTCTCCCAGTAGTGTTCTATATGTTGTATGTAAACATCTTATGATGCCTTTCTATTGTAAAAGTCTGTAGATGTTGTGTTAATTGTATATACTTTGGCAACACTGTAATAAAGTCATGCCAATAAAGCTGTTTGAATTGAATTGGATTGATGGAGGGAAGAATGGATGGAGTAGAGAGATACAGCAGATAGATGCGTGGAGGGCTGGACTGATAGAAGAGGTAAGCTGCCACTGACCTTGGCGTCTGTGTCTTCCTCCGGTGGTCCGTCTGCTCTCCTGACTCGCCGGAGCACGGAGCAGTACTTCACAGGGAAAAGTCTGGTAGCTCTCTGAGCAAGAGGGAGAGGGGGGGAGTGATCACACAGGAGCATTTTATCTTTGATGTTCCTGCTCTGTCGCACTCAGCACCTCTCTCTCTCTCCATACAGTTTACACGTATTAACAGAACGTAACGGGGGCAGTTCAAACAGCCCCTAAGTGCATTGGCCCTGTGCGACAGTACATTAGCACTGCATCGATGAAGATGAGAGCGGTGGGCGATTGCAATACTGTTCTGCCCTTCGCTCTCAAAGCCCGCAATGGGAAAACAATAGAAAATCTTGCTGGAGATTACAGCTGGATTTAAAAAAAAAAGTGTAATCTGCAGAAATGTAGACATCTGTAAAACCACCCAAACGCATGTCTTAATTTTAATCCAAGCGGGAATCAAGCAAGTCCTGTTATTATAGCATCAGTCATTATAACACTGCCTTGTGTATCCTTTGTTCAGACGGAGGGACAGAGGAATATATAGACAGACGGGCAGGAAAGCAAACAGAAAGGCAGACAGGCAGATGAAGATGAACTTGTCCTCACTTTAAATTGCTTTACTTTCGAAAAAGAGACAACCGCCATTTCACCCTGCAGCTCACCACTGGTAGCCCCACTGGAGCTCAGCTGGTGTGAGCCTGGCCAGTACCTGGATGGGAGACTCCCGGGAAAGCTGAGGCTGCTGCTGGAAGAGGTGTTAGTGGGGCCAGTAGGGGGCGCTCACCCTGCAGTCTGTGTGGGTCCTGATGCCCAGTATAGTGACGGGGACACCGTACTGTTGCAACGCTCTGTGGAAAGCGAAGGGCATGACAAGGCACAGAAAGGCGTCATGGCCATCCACTGCGACCAAGGGGAGTCTCCAGTCGGGACGACTACTCGTACCGCTGGCCCCAGGCTCCTGAGGTCGAGAGAGTGGTACTGGCCCAGGGCAACGGCTTTCCCCCTTCAAAAAGCTCTCCCGCACGGGTGTCTTCATGCAGCTCGTCTTCCAAACAGACGAGCTGCACAACGTACGACCGTCATCGGCGGACACGACGGCCAACTTTTGAAAAGAAACGTTGGCACTCGAGTTAGAGGAGCCCCAGACAGGGTCGGGTCTGGCTGCCGTTTTGTAAGACCTGTCAAAAACCCGTTTTACAGCGAGGAGCAATGCAGTGGCAACACGCCTGGTGTCTTTGACATCTCTACCAAGTCAGGTGACACCTTGAAGCAGTCTGAGGAATCGGTAGCAAGTTTGCACTCAGCTTCGGAATATACACAGAGGATTTAAGAAACAGGTGAGAGTAGATCTGTTTCGGACATGTCCAGCACTGGTTTGAGTGGGACTGGAAACACCGCCACCTTCTGCAACACCACATTTCAACTAGTGCGCCATAGATTTTCAGAAATGTTACATATAAGAAAACATATTGTGACAGTAGCTGCGCTCTGAGGGTCTTCACACAAAAGCACAGAAACCAAGACCCGAACATCTCAGTGCAGCCTAGCAAGTGTCTCTGTCCTCAGCTGCTGCCAGGATAAGGGACTGTTTACTTCGAGACCAGCTCGTATTTAAACCCTGAAATAAGTTGGGGTGATAATATTCAGATCACAATTACTT